ACCTCTCAGCCCCAGCCCAGAGCCCGCACCCCCTCCCGAACCCCAACCCTCAGCCCCAGCCCAGTGAAAGTGAGTGAGGGTGGGAGAGAGAGAGCGATGGAGGAGTGGGGGGATGGAGTGAGTGGGGCAGGGCCTTGGGGAATGAGTGGGGCCTCAGCGAAGGGGTGGGGTAGACCCTGGGTTGTCCTTAAATTCAAAAAGTGATCTTGGGCGTAAAAAGGTTGGAGACCACAGTATTAGCAGGAGTGTTGTAAGCAAGACACAAAAAGTAATTCTTCCGCTCTACTCTGCAAATTAGGTCTCAACTGGAGTATTGTGTCCAATTCTGGGTGCCACATTTCAGGAAAGATGTTGACAAATTAGATAAAGTCCAGGGAAGAGCAACACAAATGATTAAAGGTCTAGAAAACATGACCAGTGAGGGAAGATGGAAAAAATTGGGTTTGTTTAGTCTGGAGAAGAGAAGAATGAGGGGGTATATGATAACAGTTTTCAAGTACACAAAAGGTTGTTACAAGGAGGAGGAAGGAAATCTCTGAGGATAGGACAAGAAGCAATAGGGTAAAATTGCAGCAAGTGTAGTTTAGGTTGGACATTAGGAAAAACTTCCTAACTGTCAGGGTGGTTAAGCACTGGAATAAATTACCTAGGGAGCGTTGTGGAATCTCTGTCATTGGAGATTTTTACAAGCAGGTTAGACAAACACCTCTCAAGGATGGTCTAGATAATACTTAGTCCTGCCATGAGTGCACGGGACTGGACTAGATGTCCTCTCGAGGTCCCTTCCAGTCCTATGATTCTATGATATCTTTCTAGAATGGGTTCACAACCTTTCTGAAAAACAACTTACCTGTGTTCTGTACATTATTCTAGCATTATTGCTTAGATCAGATCTCAAGAGGAATCCGATCTGACCTTTCAGGGTTACACAATATATTCCTGGAACCAGGGTGCCGGTCTCCCTCCCCAAGAGTTTTATTTCTTTTGTGTTGCCCCTGGATTTCCTTTACCCACTGCTGTATTTTGGGGGGATATTACCTATCGATATATTAAACAAAGGAAATGGTTATGTTTACTTCTGAGGCTATGTTCACCCAGTTAGTTTTTCACAGCATATTGTAGTCTTGCATTTTTTTGTATAAACATTGCAGAGAATTACTAATGTTTAATTGTTACCCTCGGAAGAGGTATGTTTTAATGGAATACTACTCATCCACCCCTTTCTCCACAAAGATATGAAGGTTTGGAACCTCTGCTTCTTATTCTCTTTCACTGATTACTTTAAAGGGATATTTTTGCCCCCCCATTGGAAAGAAATGGATTGTTAGATCACTGGGAGAAACCTAAGTACCTGTGCAAGGGGTGGCTCAAAGTGCACCCCGCTGAGTCCAGTGACTTAGAACTTTGAGTTGTGATAGTAGTTTCAAAACCCATTCTCTGGTGTACATAGACCTCAAAATGGCAATACACTTATTTTCTGATAAGTGCAATTGTCAGTAAGCAACTCTACTGGAAGAAATTATTAAGGAGACAAGAAGCATCTCAACTATAGAAGTCTAGCTTCTTAAAATGGTGTTCAACAGAAGAGAATGAGTAAATAATTTTAGTGTTTACATTTTTAAACCATTCTTAATATATAGTACAATAGAAATTATGCAGTATCAACTATATTAACATTTAGTATTACAAGAAATACATTTATATTGGAGCAGGTTGGGAACTTTCTGTCAAGATAATTTTTTGACAGAGAAAATGCAGTTTTTGCAAAATCTAAGCTTTCCAGACTGCATTTCCCATGATGCACCATGGCCTCCCCTCTGAAGGAGTCTCATGATCAATCATGGGAATTATATGACTATGGTACATTGCAAGAGATGTAGTTTGGCCAGGGTGACTGGCCCATAGGGAAGAATCAGAGCAATGGGGCACCACTATACCTTAAGCAGATGCAGGTTAATGTCAAATTAACTTCAAATGAAACATTTTGGATTGGGAACGTCAAAACACTTCTTTTCAGTTAATATAAAAATGAACCATTTCAGAACCAAAATCTTTTGGAAACTTTGAGAAAAAAATTGATATTTTGACTTTAAGTCCCGATTTGGGAGGAAAACAAATGGTGAAATATTGGAATTCCCTGCAGGATAGAAATTCTGATTTGCTCAGCTATAACCCATATCTATCTAATCTCTCTAAACAGAACCATATATATTGATTCCTTCAGTGAACAATATTTTTTTAATCTAGGTAAACAAAAAGCCAATCACTGTGCTTAAGAAAGAATGGAACATAATAATAATAATAATATATGGAGATATACCTATCTCATAGAACTGGAAGGGACCCTGAAAGGTCATCAAGTCCAGCCCCCCTCCCAAGTACTGATTTTGCCCCAGATCCCTAAGTGGCCCCCTCAGGGATTGAACTCACAACCCTGGTTTTAGCAGACCAATGTTCAAACCACTGAGCTTTCCCTCCCCATAGTTCACGTTAATATGGGAAAACACCAGGCACTAATTTAACCATAAATTCTTCTAAGTCCAAAGGCCAAATGGTATTTTATACAGTTGCTCTAAACATGCTTAACAGTCTAAAAATAAGCAGTCACTACACCCGAACATTTATAAGCATTTGATAAAGATACTTCCAAACGGGCAAAACCTAGTGGTGCTTTAGACCCATATTGGTCAGCTCCAACATGATCAGCCAGGTATTAGCAATGAACCCTTTAAGAGTTTGCAAAGAGCGGTGATGTCATTGCCAATGACTGACTTCAACTAAAAACCCATCTGAGACGATTCACCCTTATTTCTAGTCTTAATACAGATAAGATTTCCAATCTCCTTTCTTCCCGAGGTCTCCTATCTCTTCTTGCTGACTAACAGAACAGTGGGAAGGTTTGTGCTTGTTTCTTTTAAGAACCTTGTTTTGTCGTGTTACTGCTGCTCTTTATTTTATTTGTTACTTTTTGAACCATACATCCTGCCCCACACTGCAAGTAATAGGTAATACTACTTATTAGTCTCGTGGCTTTCTTTTACTTGCTGATTGGGGCCTTTTCCTTACTAGGTGCAAACTATAAATCAGACATTATTTTCTTAACCAAACTTAAGATAACTTTAATTCTTTTAATTTCATAACTGTCCCTACAGTGACTCTTCTTTTTTAATGTGATATTGGTTTCCTATTTAATTATCTTTTGCAAGCTGATAGGAAAGTTTCATGTAAAAGTGAAGATGGAATGATATTTCCAAATGCAAATTTGTATGGTTGCTACTGAGACAGTAACTCAGAACCTATTTGTCTGTGAGGAGTTAACTTCATATTTTGTGTGTGTAGAATATTAACCGTAATTTATGCTTGATGAATACAATAAAGGAGGCACTATGACTAACCAAACCTCAGCACGTCTCCAGATATTTGGGTTATTGACTAGCGGCCCAGTTCTGCAAACATGCACATGAGTAATGTTACTCGTGAGTAGGCCCACTGAAAACAAGTGGACCGTTAACTTGAGTAGAGTGTTTGTAGGATCAGTGCATAGGGTCTCAACTAGGGTGGCCGGTTGCCTGTTTTTTTTTTTACCAGAAAGTCCGGTCAAAAAGGAGACCTGATGGTATCCAATCAGATCTAATGACCAGACACCCAACATCTGGTCACTGCAGGTGGGGGAGGTGGGGAGGCGATGAGTCATCACCCGGGCCAGCCCCTACCTGCATTGGATGGCTGCAGTTCCCAGCCCTGACTCTGCAGGCGAGTCCCTCCCGACCCATGCAGGGAGTCGGGGAGAAGGGAAAAGCAGTGAGTGACGGAGAGAGCGGGAAAGAGGAGTGAATGGGGGCAGGGCCTCAGGAGAAAGAGTCAGGGCAGGAGCGGGGCCTGGGGGGGAGGAGTGGGTCCGGGGAGGTTCCAGCACTCCTGCTGGAGTGTCTCGTTTTTAAATATTACAAAGTTGGCAAGCCTAGGCTCAACTCTTCAGCCAATCTGTGGAATGGCAATTCTGCACCAAGTAGCTGCAGAATCAGGCCACTTATCTGGGATCCAAACAGATATTGCCTGGAATTAACTTACTCATTTCTATTCTCCTTCCTACTTTCAAAGCAATGGTTGTGGCAGATCTGCAATATATGCTAATATTTGTAGAAATGGGACAAATTAATTTAATCCTGAAGCCTCCAAACAAAACTTGCTGTCACCAAATGGCTACCCTGGTGATCTAGTAACCTAATAGCCAAAGCAAGTTTGGATTCTTCTCTCTTCCCCTTTTTCCAGTAATGTGTGTACTGTGTGATCTTGCTACCAGTGTATCATGTAATATAAATGCCTTTAGAATTAAACTTTGTAGCTATTATGACTTGTGCATTTTTATGAGAGAGGAGTGTTTCATTTCAGTAATGGGATTAGCAAAGTTCAGAAACTGAGTAAAACACTTAGTTTAAAATATGCTGCATTGCTGTAAGATTCCAGCTTTTTAACCACATTTTGTGATGGTTTCATCCCTCATTTTATATTTACATCCTCAAAGTGCATATAAAAATTAGAATAATATCCAAAACGAGCTGCTAGACTAGGCCTTTAGAGAACCTATGGGTGGGGGAGGATTTTGCTGCAATGCTCTAAAGAACTAAAGTGACTCATTTTTTCTTGCCCCTCTTTAATACTAAGATTTCACTTGTGCACAGATGAGCCATAACTTTTTATGTCTTTAGTAACCTCATCAGACATGTAAGTCAACACAAAGGCTTATTTACTATGGTAGTGCAATGTACATTACAGAGGAGGTGATTAATAAGAATCTGTTTGTGCTGATCTGTTTTCCGTTAACAGGAGTTTACATGAACTGAGTTTGCTTGTGAATTTGAGACTGAATTGTGTTTCTTCTTAGCTTCAGATTTTGGGCTCATAAATTTTGATATTTTATTGTTTCCAAAGCCTGTTGCTTAAGGACTCATCTAGCATTTAAATTTCCTCAGTGTAACTTTTCTCTTTGCTTTTCTTAGTGCCCAACAACGAAGCAGTCAGGTTAACAAAAGTGCAGTTGGAAATCAGGTAGGCATCTGATAAGAGAATGGATAATTGCATGTACAAGTGAACTTCAGTTGTTGATTTTATGGGCTGTATCTTTTATTTTTTGCTGTAAATGTATAAGTGACCAGTTTTGCTTGATACGTAATATAAAATGCATCTTTTTTTACTTGCTTTACTTAAGTTTTCAGAACCAGCTGACATCTTCATTAAGGTTGTCAGCTATAACTTTTAATAATTCTGCTGCTAACTGGACTGCTCTTCAGTGTCTCCTCCTCCATGCCCTTAAGTACCCAGAATTTCTTCCTGTGTTGTCTCTAAATATTTAGTTTTCATTATGCTCAAACTTGTGAATGATTTCAAAGACCAATACCGTGTGAGTACTTGTTTTATACCTGCTCTTGGTTGTATAGTAGTTTACTAGTTCACACATGTGCACAGCTTGATAACACAGTGAAGGGACGGGTCGGTAGGCGAAAGCAGACTTGTCTTTACCTCTGCTGAAAATTTTCAGTTGACTTCATAAAAATGTTGATTACATACCATAGTCTTGCTTTGAAGAAACAAAGCTGATTGGTGGTCTCAGACGAATAGCACTCTTGCTGAGATGGCATTAACTAAATTAGTCGGCTGTTTCTTTTTATTATGTGTAGTACAGGCTTGCAAGATGCTTATACTGTGAAGAGGTGCTGCCACCCTCAACTCCCAGTGATTCCACTGCAAGTTAAGGGTGCTCAGCTCTTTACAGGATCAATTTCTGTTTTCTTTTTAAGTTAAAACTCTAAGGATGATTGATATAACCAGCCTCAGTATATATTCTTGTATATTTCTAAGGTTCCGCAGAGTCTGTTTGTCTTTTAAGCAAAACAAATAAAAAAAAATCATTTCAGTGTTCATCTGTGATGGTTTCAATTTTGGATAGTCAAAATAAAATAAAGTAAACTTCCTTTAATCTGGATTATTTCCTTGCACATCTCCCTGATGTTCTCGCACGTAATTGCTCCTGCATTAAACATTACAATGAAAAGTTAAAGGCAAAGATTTTTCAAAAGTGACCAGTATTGATGAGTGCCTCCGTTTTTGGGTGGTGAATTTGAGATGCTTTAAAGGGGCCTTACTTGCAGAAGGCAAGTACTCAGCTCTTTCTGTAAATCAGACCTCTTTAAAGTGTCTCACGTTGAGTGCCCAAAAACAAAAGCACCAAAAATCACTACTCACTTTTGAAATCTTGGCCAAAATGGTCCATTAGCTTCTGGAACGTTTGGAAGCAATGATACCTCCAGAGCTTGACCATCTTCTATGTGTTTTTGAGTTACATGCCAGGTGGGATTAAAAACAAAACAAAACTGAAAGGTCTAATGGTTGAAACAGTTCCAAAGACCCTCTAAAGAGAGAGACTTCCGTCTCCTATAGCTGTGCAGGAACACATGTCAAACACTAAGGCTAATTCTATACTACACAGCTTTTAGCGACGCGGCTTTGTCACTACAGCAGTGCTGCTAAAAGTCGCGCAGTGTAGCCGCTGTTTGTTGGCTCTCCTGCCGACAAAAAACTTCCACCCCCAAAGAGCGGGGTTAGCTTTGTCGGCAGGAGAGCGCTGTCTGCAAAACTTTTGTCTTTTGGGTGTGTGTTTTTTTGACATCTCGGGAAGACAAAAATTTTGTCATTCAATTGCCAGTGTAGACAAAGCCATAGTCATCTCAGCTTTGGGGTTGTCCTGTAGAAGGAAAACCACCCAATTCCGTGATGTCCCAGAAATATACAAATTGGAGTAACTATTCCTGAGTCTGCGTGACTGTATTTTGTCTCTCAAAATAACAAAACAAAATAGCAAAACTCCACAAAGCTTTGGCTTTAAAAGGAAAAAGCTCAAAATTGGTAACTTGGTAAAAAGACTTTGCTGAACCTTACTTATTTCAGAGATAAACTAAAACAGACTTTTGTTTTGCATTTACCTTAATTGTTTGGAAGTGAGAAGAGCTTGACAAAATGACTTCTGAATAGAGAAAATGTTTCTGAAATAAATCTTTATTTTTACAATTCTTTGCTATTTCAGGGAGCCAATCTACCGCCTTCACGGCAAATTGTACGAGCTAAGTTTTGTAAGCTTTATTGTTGCTTTTTCATTTAGCTTCTCAAAGGGCAAAGTTTCTCTCTAACTCATTAGTTTAATTAATGCTAGCTACTACATTTTTTTTACCTTGAAACTGTTTCACCTTTAACACCTTCTCAATGAAATGTAATTGCAGTTCATTCCTTCATTGCCACTAACCTGCTGTGACTTACAAGTCTGAACTAGTACAACTTAAAAAGTGTTGTTAAACTTTCAGCCAAATCTATGTTTAAGCTCATTATATTAAATTGTCTTAAAATGAACTAAACTTACTAATGAACAATGTCCTTTTAAACTATATCATTGGAAAAATTGGATATTTATTTGATGTTTATAGTACATGGAGGCTCTGCCTGTTGAAAGGTAGGTGAATTATAGTAAGGGAAATATCAATTATTGCTTAAATGGATGTACTGTTTACAAGTGCCTTCTGTCACAACTCATAAAAAAGCGCTTTCCAGCAAACACAATTCAAAGAAAAATTGATACAAATTTTAAATCCCGAGAGCTTTCTTAGCATTTTTTTATAGCAGCAGGAGGATCAGTGTGTCACAGGATAGATTTTTACTTTATCAACTCCTCCACCAAATATTAGGTGAATACATTTTAATTTACGATTAGTAATATATCTTCTGAACATTTAGGAGTTAATTCTATAACAAGCCAGGGCTGCCGGGGGGGGGGGGGGGGGGGGGGGGGAGGGTGCCCCCGCCCCCGCCGGGCCCCCCCGAGAATATAGTATTCTATAGTATTGCAACATTTTTTTTATGGAAGGGGCCCCCGAAATTGCTTTGCCCCAGGCCCCCTGAATCCTCTGGGCGGCCCTGTAACAAGACACTCTTCCAATTCAGTGACAGGTGGATATAAGTGGTAAAAGTTGATTGTGCTGTTTGGTGCCATATGACATGTTCCTTGATAGGACCTGTATAATTAAAATGGATATATTTAATTCCAGTTTGTCATTATACTGCCAAATTACACCAATAACCATTATAAACTGAGTTACTCAAAACTGAATAACATGTTTATTTTAAGGCAACAGGGCATAAACAAAACTGACTGACTCTAATAGCAGTTGGAAAGATCATTAAACTAATCCAGACTGGTATTGGGGTTTCCTACTTGATTGTAATATGCTTTGAATAATGATAATACAGAGAATTTATTTCACATATCAGAAATACAGACATTTCTGAATCAACTGCAAAGGACCTGAGTATTTGTGAAAAATGCATAATACTCAGTTCTGTTAAGTATAGTTTTGCTCATTTTTCCCTCTACTAATTTATCCTCTTGCACTTAATCTTTGGCTCTTTTTTTTTTTTTTTCTTTTTTTTGTGCTACCGCCTGAGGTTTTGACCTGACTCAGCAAGGTTTCTTTCTAAGCCACAGGTTAGTCTGTCTTCTCATCTGCTTTAAATAACCAGTGTAACAGTTTGTTTTACATAGCTTTTCTGGCAAAATCTGGGCCTTGAAGACTGACCAACTCCTAACTGTATATTTTGTGTGGTGAGATTTGTGTTTTTGTCACCATCACTAAACTTGTGTTTAAACATTGTCATTTTAATGTAAAAATCCCACTTCTAATAGACCTTACAGCTCAAAAGGTGTCATTGCATCAAGCATTCAATCATTTAAGAACACAATATGGGAGGATTTGAAGATGATAGATCATATATAGCATTTTAAAATAGAACAAAATGTAAGATACTTTCAGTGGCAAAATCCAGTATTGCTCCATATGGAGTAACCATTACAGTTGGAGTAGGTCCTAAATCTGAATCTTGGATCCAAAATTGTTGTCCAAGTTATTTTTAGACAATTTGGATGTAATAACTTGGTCCTATTTCTATAATGAGCCCAAACCAGAAACTTGATTCCCATTCATCTGAACTTAGGGAAAATTTGGATCTACTGCTGTACTTTGTGGCCTCTACTTTTGTAACCTGCACCGTTTATGAATGCATGATGATTTACATCATTGCCCCAAGCTTTGTTTAACTAACGTTGGGTGAATATTCTCTTTCTTTGTTTCACCGAAGGCTGAGTTATCTGTCAAAGGTGGTACTTTTTGAAATTAAGTCAGTATCCTTTCCAGTCATGTGATCCAATAATCAGTGATTTCATCCAAAGCAATGTTAATTCTGGAAGCAGTCTCCCAGAGGTGGAACCTTTGGAAATTAAGTATTCTCCACCTTGTTCATCTCCATCTTCAAAGATCACATGAGTCATGATGGAAGATATGTTGAATATTTTGACCCTTGCTTGACTAATTAAAGCAGGGAAATTACACCCGGACAAGTCAATATTGCTATTGTTTTCTGAATCAACCGCAAAGGACCTGGTGCATCCAAGTCATTTACTAGTTCTGTATTCCCTACTGGCCCATAGTGTGAGCGAACTTTTCACATTTGACCTAAGAAACAAATCCATTGTGGTGTTGCCTCACCCCCGGTTTGTTATAATTATTACCCCGGTTTGATAGTGCTGTTGCAACACAATTTTGTACCACAAGTATTGGAAGATAAAGCAGCAGTGTTAGTAGTTACAATGCAACTAACATTGCTTCAGTGGAACTATTGTGTAGTTACTTGTTTAAATAATTGCTAACTCAGCAAATAACTCCTGTTTATGCCTCTGTTTTGTTAGAATGCCTAACCTTCAGATTTGCACACTCACCTCTTTTCTCTGACTTTCCCAGCCAGTTCAAATGACAGTCAGTCTTAAAATGACCTCTCAGACATTACTTTTGAAAAGTGGCTAGCACAGCTGTTCACACTTGTTTAATACTGAGTCATAGTATATTTTGTTCTACTTTATTAATCAGAAATATCTTAATTGATGCAAGGAACTGTAAAGTTGTGAAGCAGTTCACAAAAATCTGTCCTTCATCCATCAGATCCTGCTTTCCTGTTTACCAATGTGAAATGGCGGAGAGGGAAAGGAACAGATATGATTTGTTTTTATGCAGCTGAAATTATCTGCAAAATGACTTCCTTCTGATTTGTGTACACACACACACACACACACACACACACACACACTCTCTCTCTCTCTCTCTCTCTCTCTCTCTCACCCCCTCCTGTCCCCTCAATTTTTTCATTTTTCAGACACCAAGTTTATCTATCAGAATCCTGAAGGAAGGAACTGTGTCATCCTTCATTCATCCTGTCCACACAACCCAGCTGCTGGTCAGAATATTGTCTCCACTCACTTCTGGCATGGCTTATGTTTCTCACCTTCCTGATGTTCATAACTCATATCACTCATATCCGGTACATGCAGAGTAGAATTTGGCGTACTGATTTTAAAAAACATTCCTTGCAATATTTGCAACCCAAACACAAAAGTGAAATGATGGTGTAACTGGCACCCGGCGGTGGCGCCTCCTCATTGCTCATCTGGGGAATTAGCTCGCCACTGTCCGCCCCGTCCTGCAGTTACTCAGCTGGTTGCCTCAGTCACTTGCTCTGGGGCCCTTCTCTTGCCGGTCAGGAGCTTCAGCGCTTCTCCTTCGTGGCTTAGACTTCTGACCAAGTCACAGTTGTTCTGCCCTTCCGGGCTCTCACCAAAGTGTCTCTCCACACAGTCTCAGGCAGCCTCCATATCACTGCGCTGACTGCACCACTCCCACAGTGGCTTGTAGGGGAACCCAGGCCTGCCCTCTACTCCAGGTTCCAACCCAGGGGTCCTCAAACCAGCAGTTCACATCTGTTCTCCCAGCCCTTATTGTTTCTTCCCTGGACTGATTCCTACACTCCTATGACAGACTCCTATTCTTCCCCCCTTGTATCAGAGGGTGTGACTGCAGGCTTCCTCACTGCAGCCCCTGCACGCACACACACACACACACCTGTTACCAGCTCCTGGCTTTATAGAAGTCCTGCCTCTTTCTGCCCAGGTGAGCTTTATCCACAATTAAGCCTTACTGCATGCTAGCTCCCCTTCAGTTGCAGCCGATGGCTAATTGGCCTCTCTTCCTTATATTAACTCCTCCAGGGCTAGTGTGGGGTGAATGCCCATTCACAGGCATCTGAACATTAATGGAAATAATTACTCTCTCTTGTCGCTATCCAAATCGAGAGTAGCACAAAATGTAAACAGCGCAATAGTTAAAACTAAACTGGATTATTAAAATGGAAAGGTTTTTGTTTTAAATGCCTTATCTGTTTTACAGGCAAGGAAATTTATTTTTAAAATGTTGCTTGATTTTCAGAGGTGAAGTCAGTGGGAGACTACAGTGGGAGTTCAGCACCTCCTGAAAACCAGGACATGAATACTTAACTAGATAGTGTTCCTTTGAGTACATGGCATTGTCTGAGCCCTTATCACACAAGGTTGCTTGGTCCTGAATGTATTGAGATTCTATAGATTTGCTGTAGTTCTGTATATAAAATGTGCCCATGTGAAGTTCTAGGAACATGTACGATTCATTGAAAATAACTTGCAACCTCATGCTCACTCCCCAGCCATCAGCACACCTTTAGATTCTCTTCCCTCCTGTAACATCCACCATAAGTCTCCAGTTGTTTGACATTTTGGTCTGCTGCTCCTTTGCAGATTTCAGTATGTTTAGGGAGCGTAGTGCTCTATTTTAATGGGGAAGTGCGTGTTGGGCGATTAGTGGAAATTCATCAGCATTCCTTGAAAAACGCAAAGGCTGAGGGTATTGCCTCGATCTGGTGTCCTGCCACTGACACAACCCAGTGCTTTGTGGGAGTGGCAGCTGGATCCAATCTCCCACAAGCAGGATTCTTTGAGGAAACAGCTGGCAGCTTCATTCCTCTACTGGATAGACATAATGGGGGAATGACTGAGAGTAATATCAGCAAGCCAGCTTGCTATTGGATTCACCCACTGGCAGCTGTATATCTGTGAGGCTCTGTCAGCAGAGTTGCCGGGATCACAGAAAGGTCCTCTGTTGGGAGCCACATTATGGGGAGTTCCTTCCTGGCCAGCAAAGAAAGTTGTTA